TACCAAAAGTCTTCACCATTGTGTACTTATGTGAATGTTACTTTCTGAGGTTTGCGATTTTGTGGGGGTTTTCCTTGTCTTTTTTTCTTTCTTTCCTTTCTTCCTTTTTATATCATTTGCTATAAATACTGCACATCCAGATCGTGTATTAGAAGGACATTGGTTGTTTCTGTGCTTTCTTGTTATAACTGTTACCAAAGTGCCAAGGTTGTCACCACACCAATTACTCTCCTGCAGATCAACTACTTCCAATTCCTGTTATGCAAATTGTTTTGAGTTTTAGCTGTTGTCTTTCTAGCCATTACAGTCATTTGGAATAAAAATTCAATTTCAGTGACTGGCTTTTATGATTATTATATTGGGCTACACAGACGGGACTTTCTGAGAAGCAGACCATGGTGTTTGCCAATTCAGTGTGACTTTAGGTAACTTACTTAATCTCTCTTAAGCACAGTTTGCTCATTGTAAAATAATAGTAGCTATCATTTATTGAGCAGTTACTCTGTACCAGGTACTTTTCAGACCTTCTTTTTCCTTCCTTAATGAAAAATTTTAAATGCACATAAAATAGAGAAAAATAATATAATGAACCATGTCCCACTCACCTCACTTCAAAAATTATCAAGTCATGGACAGTGCTATGTCATCTCTTATCCCACCATCCCTTCTTCCACACCTACTCCCATCACTGGATTACTTTAAAGCAATTTCTGATACCATATGATTTTATCTATAAGTATTTCTATATGTACCTTCAAGAGATAAAATAACCATAATGCCATTAACATACTTAACAGTTCACCAATAATTCCTTCATATCATTAGTCAATATTCCCATTCATGACTACCTCATAAACGTCCTTTTATGATTGACTTGTTCTAATCAGCTTCCATACAAAGTTCACACTTTGTATTTGATTGAAATCTCTTAAATCTCTTTTAAACTATAATTCCCTCTGCCCTCTATTTTTTTCTTGCTATTTACTTGTTGAAGAAACAGGCTTGTTTGCCCTATAGAATTCACCACAGTCTGGATTTGGCTGATGGCAACTTACGGTGTCCTTTAACTTCTCTGTCCCTGGCATTTCCCATAAACTGATAATTGCATGTAGAGGCTTGAGCAAGTTTGAGCTCATTCTTTTGGGCAGGAATGCTTCACAGGTGTTGTGTGCTTCCTGTTGGGAACTTTAGGAGGCACATAATGTCCCTCTGTGTCTAAGTTCTTAAGATCGCTCCTTGTCAGCCTGACCCAGTCATTGGAAAATCCCCCGATGGTTTAGCTGCCACTGCTGATCATCGCACACAAGCATCATTTCTTCAGGGGCTGCAGGACAGTGACAGTACTCGAATGCTTAGTATTCCTTCTGCATTTATTACCTGGAGTTCACGGATTGAACAAAAGACAACTATAATTTTGCCTCATTAACTATTTGGTTTCTCTGAGGTACAATTTAGACAAAAAGATCAGCATTCATGTTTCTTTAAGTTTTCAGAATACTGAGCCATACTTTTTCAGATTTTAGACTGATATTACAGGCGCAGAGACTTGAAGAGGTGGAGAGACTGCTGGGCGTCACACAGTAAGGACGGGACTGGACTGCCACGTTGGGTCATGCCTAAAGCCAGGGGTCTGTCCTCAGAGGTGCTGTGTCTTCCCTGACTGCCTTGTGATTTGACAGCAGTCGAGAATTAGGGAAGCAGTTGGTAAGCCACAGAGGCAGGGCTTGCCATTTCTGTTAGCATTGAGTCTTCCTTGAGGCTGCCATAGTTTCACCGAGTGTGTCTTGACTTCCCAACCAACAGAGAGGGCCTGTGGGCAGGGCCAGTCTACACGTGGTCAGCAGCAACCCCTCACCTGGTGCAGTAATGAACCAGGGCTGCCCTCCACTCTCTTTAATTCTCCCTTTGTAAGCCATGCCTCCCTGGCTCTCCCCCCGGACGACTGCCATTTCCTGCCCTGACTGATTTTAAGTGCTGGCCTTGAATGCTTATCCAGGCCTGTCTATTAGGCCAGTTTTCTACAGGCACCCCCGACTCTCCTGGCAAAAGCTACACCCATGTCGCCACTGCCCAAACCTGCCCCTGCGCTCCCCAACCCCATCATCTCGGTTCCCAACACCACTGCTCCTCAGATTTCCCAGCTAGAAACTCAGCCATCTTGGACCCCATCACCACACCTCCATGCCTCAGGCTGAAGCAGATGCTGATGAAACATTGAGAGCAAGATGCTTATTAAAGATCAAAAGAAGGAAGGTTGTGGAAGGAAGAGGGGTTGGGCATCGTGATGCAGGCTGACAGACGAGGGAGCTCCGGGGCTACCAGTGCCCCCTGGAGTCATCTCAACAAGGGCTGAAAAGTCCACCGGTCTGCCCCTCCAGCACCTCTCTCCTCCCTCCCATGCTTCCTGTGCTCCAGCCACACCGTTCTGCAGACAGACACGCCTCCGTGCCATGGCATAGACTGCTCTTTGCTTGGAACGTGCTTTGCCCACTTCTGTCTTCTCTGTGAGCCTCTCACCTTCCTCCCTTACCTTCTCTAAGGAGGAATAAATCCCATAGTTCCCTGCATATACCCATTCAGGCACCAACGCATTCTATTACATTACTGGTATCTGAGCCCCTCCACCCGCCGCCCAGACCACAAGCTTCCAGAGGGCAGGAACTGGGGGCTACTCCGTGCAGCTCCCCGGCTCCCAGCAGACTGCCCGGCTCGGAAGACACTCAGTCAATATTGACTGCTGGTGGTGAGCTGAACGGTTGTGGTTACACAGAACCGATCCACAACAGCTTGTCTCATCTGAAGTTTTGCCATAGGTCTCCCAAACAAAGGAAACAAAAGAAACGGGTATTGAATCTGAGAGATGTTTCAACATTTCAATTTTATTTTAAGAACTTGCTATTTTTGTCTCAAAAAAATACAAAATTCATTGTGCAAAATCCATTCAGATAAATGATCTAAGTCTCATGTGGTACAAAGTACCTTTCCCAAGTGGGAGATGGAAGAGGAGGGTTTTCCATGCGGAGGACGGGGGCCACGGCACGGAGGCTGCCTGCTATGCCGGGGTCTGATCCATGTGAGCTGTGTGGCCTCTGACAAGACACACCTCTCATCACCAGGTTACTGCCTGTAACATGGGCTGGTTTCAAAGCCTCTCTTTCTTTTCAAAACTTAGTTTGTGGGATTTCTTTGTTTAATTAATAGACTTAATTTTTAAAACAGTACAAAAAACAGCAGGTGGTATAGATTTCCCACATTCCCCTCTCCACGGCAGTGTCCCCTGTATTAGTTTGCACTAGTGTTAGCATGAGTTTGCAGGCTTCTCTGTGGGGTGAATCCCTAGATGTGGGATTGCTGGGTGAGGGAAAATGTACCTGTAACTCTGGTAGGTAATGCCACAGTGCCTTTCAGAGGACTGTACCATTGTGAACCCCATCGCCGTGTGTGGTCACCGAAACCCCTTTCAGCTCCAACAGATTTTGTTCTATCTTCTTCCCAGGACTTGGGCCCAATGGGTAACTTCGTGAGGAGTTTTCCTAAGATGTGGGCTCCCCACTGACCACCACCAGCTGTGCCACATGCAAAAGAGCTGGAATTAGCAAGCGTGGCAGGAGAACTTCAACTTCCAGGCTCCCCCGCAGATCGCTCCCCCCGCTGTGAGCCGTGAAGCTTCCAGTCACATTTCCCTGGAGCCATACGTGGGTTGGCGTGGCTGAGCTGCACAGGCACCTGCTTGCCTGTCACCTGAACGTGAGACTCCAGACCAGCGGTGCCGTCCAATGTGGTTGCCACTTACCACGGTGCCTATTTAAACTTCAAATAATTAAAATGAGATAAAATTTAAAACTCAGTTCCTCGGTCCCACTGGCCGCATTGCAAGCGCTCAATAGCCACAGGCAGCCAATGGCAAATAAACCGTAGCGCACAGATGTCCATCATCGCAGAAAGCTGTGTTGAATAGAGCTGCTCCAGAGAGGTGAGTCTTCATACTGGGGCTATACAAATGAGAATGACGACTGACCAGTGTGGCTCAGTGGTTGAGCGTCAACCTATGAACCAGGAGGTCACAGTTAGATTCCAGTTGGGGCACATGCCTGGGTTGTGGGCTCGATCCCCAGTAGGGGGCGTGCAGGAGGAGGCTGATCAATCATATTCTCTCATTGTTGATGTTTCTGTCTCTTCTCCCTCTCCCTTCCTCTCTGAAATCAATAAAAAAATTTTTTTTTTTTTAATGAAAATGACAACTAAATGCAAGGAGAGATCCTGGACTGGATCCTGGTGCAGAAAAATGGCTCAACTGACTAAATTCGAATAAGGTCTGAAGATAAGCTCACAGTATTGTATCAGTGTTCATTTCCTGGTTTGGGAAATTATGCTCTGGTTATGTAAGATGTTAATACTTGGGGAAGCTGTATTGTGAAGAGTATTTGGAAATTCTTTGTGTTGTTTCTGCAACATATTTGTAAGCCTAAAATGATTTCAAAAATGTTTGAAACCCTTAAAAAATGTTACGAGAGGAAAAAAATGAGAGTGTGTGCCTCATGGAACTGTCCACACGTACAGATAAACCTGGGAACAGAAACAGCTGTGGAGCAAGCACAGCATTCCTAAAAGCCAGTGGATGAGTTAAGGGTGGTCCGTTTTGTAAGTGATGGATGGAGCCCTTCAGCAGTTGGAGAGACGGAATGCTGGGGCTGGCACCTGACCTCACCCCCTGATTAGCTGCTTAGCTAGCCTGAGCCCGTGTCCTCTCTGACAAGACGCCTCTTGCACCCTGTGAGGCTCTGAGCTGATGGGGATGAAAGTGAGCTGAGAGATGCGAAGGACCATACCTGTGGGAAGGAATTACCTGCAAAACCCAAGACAGCCCCTGGACCAATCACTGAAAGAAATCGCAAACATTTGCCTGCTGGCCCTGCATGACGATGCATTTCAGTAAAAGCAGCTGGAGGTTTGTTAACGGTGATTCTTTTTTTAAGCCCTTAAGTGGTGGTCGTCTTCTGTTCCGTGGCCCCCACTCCAAGGTCCCAGGCTCCTGAAGGTCCGGCCCCTCTGGCTACATGGCTGTGCACCTCCTGGGGGCGCCCGGGTCGTTGTTTACTTTCCTCCTGATGCTTTCTGCAAAAGAGGAGACTCCTATTGCCTCCTGTTGCCTAAGGGCTCGTTTCAGGTTTTCACTGGCTGCCAGAATTTGTGTTAAAAGAAGAAGTAACAGTAAGATTTAACATTTTGGAAAAAGAAAAAAAGTTATACCCAATTCCTCCACTCTGAAATGACTCTTTTCCTACCCTGCCTGTGGCAGCGCTGCAATGGCCAGCATGCCCGGGGCTTTCCTTTCCCCTCAGTAACATGCTCTCCATGTTTCTCCTGTTGCCACATGACTAACGTAGCCTTCACTACTATTGGCGACTGCCTGATACCCCATCCTGTGGTTTCCCGTAAAGCGCCCTCCAGTGCACATCGCAGTATTTAAGGCTTTGTCATCGAGAGCCGGCCTTGTTCCTAATGGGGGTTGTGCCAGAAGCTGTTATCCCTCTTGCCTGATAGTTCCATGGATGCCCTGAGTACCAAACCAGGATTTGGGGACTATTTTTTTCTTTTCTTTTTTCATTACAAGCTCCATTTGTTTCATCCTTTTTGTTTAATAGCTGGAATTCAAAAGTTGGGATGGCACTGGAAATTTTGAGATCTGACTGGCTCAACTCATATTAAGCCAGTTCTGGCCCGTATGTCTTAATGTTTGTAAAAGAAAAACAAAACAAAACAAAAACTCTGCAGGCTGTTCCAGCTGTATTCCACACTGGGGGGGGGGGGGGGGGCGGGGATCAAGTATAGAAGGCTGGAGGGGAAGAGACTGTAGCATCCCTGGCTCCGGGGCTGTGAACCTCATAGGCAGCGGTTCTCAACCTGTGGGTCGCGACCCCTTTGGCAGTCAAACGACCCTTTCACAGGGGTCATCTAAGACCATCCTGCATATCAGATATTTACATTATGGTTCATAACAGTAGCAACATTACAGTTATGAAGTAGCAACGAAAATAATTTTATGGTTGGGTCACAACATGAGGAACTATATTTAAAGGGCCAGAAGGTTGAGAACCACTGCTCAAAGGCATCACCTGGGACAACACCCTCCTTGCACAGGTGGGGAACCCAGGGCCAGGAGGCACTGTGATTCGCCCAAGGGCCACCTGAGTTCCAGAAAGAGGCAGAGCCGGGACCAGGAATCTGGAAGGTCCAGAGCCAGCGCCACGGCCCTGGGGTTTGAGCAGCCTGGGAAGGCTCTGCCGCATTCCAGCGGGGGCCACGCTGCTCTGACCCTGGGGCCGGGCGCTGCCCTGAGCAGGAGCGGGGCAGGGGACGCTCTTACCAGCCAGGTCCCTCCTGCCGATGGCCACGAGGCCCTCGAAGAGCACTTTGCTGGGGTTCTCGCCCGCCGTGGTCACGCCGTGCAGCCAGATGAGCAGCATCCGGTGGCCATGCTCCTGGTAGCTCTTGGTGCCTAAGGACCATGGAGGAGAAAGAGAAAAGGGAAAGGAGTCGCCTGGCCCACTTAGCATGAGCCAGATCTGAGCACGTGCCCATGCTGCCCTGTCCTGCCTCCGGACACCGGGCCCTCCTCTACTCTTGAGGGGTTCAGCCCAGAGATGGGGAGGGGAGGGCGGAGCAGCCTCAGATAGGGTGCGGGTGGAGGTTCTGTGTTGGGGACCCTGAACTCCCCAGCCCCAGGCTTTCCCCTGAGCATCTACCACGCATGCCGTTGGTGTCACTCTTAAGAGAGAGTTGGCATCACTGTGGTACCCGATGCACAAGGCGGTCGGCTTCGCCTCTGGCTGCTCAGGACAACCTGTGCCTTGCATGCTCGTGGCCCTCCTCTACAGGGAGAAGTCGGCTTAGTCAGAGGCCGAGCTGGCCACGTTCTTTCCCGGCATCAGTGGTTCTCGACTGAGTGCCCATTGGGAACACCTGGGAGGCTTTAGGAACTATGGACACCCAGTTCCCCTCCCTCCCCCCCACCCCCAGCTCCCGACAAGCGTTGGTCTGGGTGCAGCCCAGGCACCGACTGGTGTTAATTTAACGCTTCCCTGGCGACTCCAAGGTGCAACCATGTTCGGAAAATAAGTGTTCACACTCTTCGGTGCCGGTGGTGGGATTAACTGGTTTTAAACTCTGTGACTAGGTCTGCTCTCCCAGGCAGGGCGATGGCGGGCACAGCCGTGGGTCGAGGTCAGTCCTTTCACTGTCTGCCCTGCCCTCCTGTGGGCCCTCAGCAGGCACGTCCTCCCGGTGCTGCCCTTGGCGCGGCAGTTTCATCCGACCCCTTTGTTCACTGGCCTTTGCCCCCCAGTGCCCCTCTATCAGCTATGAAAGTTTTTGTCAGTAATAAAGTTTACTTTTGGATGCCCCGCTCTATTCCACTAATTGGTTTGCATATTTTTGTGTCAGGTGTCTATATTATTTATTTTAACTTTATAAATGATTGAGTCTGGTTGCATTAGATCATCTTCACTACCCCCGCCCCCAGAATATTCATTTACATGTTCCCTGTTTATTCTTTCAGTCAAGCTTCAAAAACCTCCTATATTCATTTGATTAAAATTAGATCAAAGTTTTAATCTAATTTGGAAAAAATCAATATCTATAAGATATTATTTCCAGCCAGGAATATAAAATGTCATTCCATTTACCCAAGTCTTCTTTTATGGCTAAACTAATTTTTATTGTTTTATTAATATGTCATTCATATTTCTTTTTATAAAAACACATTATTATAAAAGTAATATCTTTTTTAAAACGCCTCTATTTATTTGGCCCACTTATTGATGGTACATAGGAATACTCTGGTGTTTGCATATTTTATCATGTATTTAGCCATTTCATGGAATTAAATTTTTTTGTTGTTGTTAATCCTCACCCGAAGATATTTTTTTTCATGGATTCTTAGAGTGAAAGGGAAGGAAGGAGAGGAGAGAGAAAGATTGATGTGAGAGAGACACATCAATCGGTTGCCTCCTGCACACACCCCAGCCCGGGCTAGGATCGGGCTTGCAACCCATGTACATGCCCTTGACTGACTACCTTCCGTCTGTGGGCCACTGCTCTAACCACCAAGCCAAACTGTCCAGGGCTGAATTAATTTTTTAATGTTTTAATTGATTTTTTAGAGAGAGAAGAAAGGAAAGGGAGAGAGACAGAAACATCGATCAGAGAGAAACATCACCATCAATTGGCTGCCTCCTGCTGGGGGGATCGAGCCTAAAACCTAGGCATGTGCCCTGACCAGGAATCAAACCGGCCACCTCTTGGTGCAAAGGTCAATGCTCAACCATGGAGCCATGCTGGCCGGGCTCACTGAATCATTTTATTCTAAGAGTTTTCAGCTGATTCCTCTGGAATTCCTGTGCATATAATTACAGCATCTGAACTTAATAAATCTCTCTCTTCCTTTCCAGTATTTGCACTCATTTATAATTCTGTTTCATGCCTTAGTTCCAGGGCCAGCATTTTCAAATATATGTTAAGTAACAGTGGTCACAGCAGCTCCTCTCCTTTTTCCTGGAACTGCCTTTCGTTTCCTGTATGAACGGTAAGTACCAGCTCCGGCTGATTCATGAAGAGTGTGCAGTTGACAGGACAATGGGGAGGGAGAAGCAGAGGGCAGGCCGGTGCAGGGGCCCGATGAGTGAAGAAAGCACGCCGTGTGCTGGGAATGGCACGCGGCTTCATGTGGCTGGGCTGTGGGCTGCACAGGCTTTTCCCCCAGAAGCACAGAAAACAGAAGATCCCTCCAGTGCCCCTACCCCTCCACCTGCTGGCTGCTCTGGGGTGCCGAGGCGAGGGGTACCTGTCCACTGTTGCTCGATGGCATGGACGTGGGCCTCAGTGAACTCCCAGCAATACGCGAGCTTCTTCCACTCGTGGGGCCGCAGGTGCCTGGAGGCCAGTCGCCACAGCACAGAGCGGAGCTGCTGCGTTTCCTGCCGATGGTCCTGCTTAAAGGTCAAACTCTTCCCAGAGAGGCCACTGGGGTTCCTGAGTGAGAGGTGGTCCTGTGGGGCAGATCCCAACATGCAACAGGGGTTTCTGGGGGGAAATCCCTGCCAGGCTCTCCCTCGTGATCCTGGGCTGGGAACTGGGAGATGGTGTCATCACCAACCTGGGCCTTACTGCCTACGGCTCTGGTTGCTGCCTCTAGGCCTTGCTTTGGCCTCTGGGACCCAAGCTGCTCACACTGTTCCTCCATCCAGAAGTCCTTTCCTCACCTCCCTGTCCCTCAGGCCCGTTGCCACAGTCAAAAGACCACCCAAATGCCACCTCTTTCAGGAAGGCTTCCCAATTCCTCTCTTCTCTGTTTTTATGCGGTACAGGTGACGGTAGAGTGACTCCGCAGTTGTGGCTAAACCTAAACAAGGCACTGGGCTTGCCACATGCCAGCAAGCAGCGAAGGGTAAGGTAACAGAAGTCTTTCTATGCACAGCAAGTGATACAAGGAGAGGTTACAGAAGAATTACGTAATAGCATAAACTAACCCACAAAGGCCGCTCTAAGCCCCTCTAAAGGAAGTGGATACAGAGTTCCGGTTGTTGAAAAGCTCAAGGTGAGAAAAGTCCCCCTGGTGTCTGCCTGTTACCTCCTGGTCAGCAGTGTCTGGCCAGTCACCCGTGAGGGGAGGACATGGGAGCTTGGCTCTCACCCTGGTAGTAAGACACCATTCCTTAGAGCAGAGAGCAGTGTTCTCCGCTGCATCTCTGTGCACCGGGACCATCTGGGAGCTTTAAGAACTACTACGCTTCGTCCCCAGGGGGAATTCGTGATTCTAACTGCACCTCTGCCCTAGTGTTGAGAGCTTTACAGAGTGATGTGGCTGAGCATTAAGCACATAAATCATTTCGTCAAACCCTTCATATTAATATCCTGGGGTTACATTTAGGGGTCATCTGTTGTAATGTTTATGAGACTCTTGCATGTCAGTGAAAAGGAATATCTCATGATTCCTAGTGAAATTGGTTATCCACCAACGGATTTGGAATAGTGATTTTTTTTTTAATGTGAGAGGTGTAGAGAAGTTTACTAAGTTTGTAAACAATATTGGAATGATATTTGAATGAAATTCACTTTATTTATAGGTTTAATTTATTGGGTTCACTCGGATAATTTTTACATGGAGGAAGCATTTGAAGTACTTGAAAAGAAAATCTATTATATTAAATGTATCCATTCACTTTAAAATGTTTACAATAATTAACTAAATTTATACATGGGACCAAACACTATTCAAAAGGCTTCTTTGAAAGTGACTGTTCAAATTTACTAGGATGTCTAAATAGAATAATAAGATTTATAAAATAAATTTGAAATTTACAGAAAATTAGTTTTTTAAAGTTATAATAAATTTAGTATTACTTTTTAAAACTGAAGTAAATGTAAGAAATCATTTCCTGTGTATATAAACCACCCTCAAAGACACCAGAAAACCCTGCCCACCCCCACTTGCTGACAACTAGAACAGCAAATGCCCGGCCTCACATCAGCCACCCTTCTTTCCCAGTTCCACAGCAGACATCACTAATCGCTCCCAGCACACCTTCCTCCTGGGCTTAGGAAGTTGCCTGCCTACACCACCCCAAGCAGTAATTGCAATCACCCGGAGATGGCAGTGATCCAGGACCAACATGCACGCACGCATCTATTCGTCCACCCGCCAGGAGCCATAGCAGCGGCCTGTAGTCTCTCCACACTGGTGTGGACGCTCCCCAACTCACACCCTCACAAACAGCCCTGCTGGCAGGTAAGGCAGCGATTATTGCCGCCTTGGAAACTGAGGGGCCCCCGAACTGGTCGAAGCCGACTCCACCTGGAGCCCAGGTGGCTCCCTTGGCGCAGGGCCCCAGTACCTTCTCCCGCTGGTAGAAGCGGTCAGCTTTTATGATCATGTCCACCAGGCTGATGTGGTTGCTGCGGGCGGCCACGGCCAGGGCGGTTTTCCCTTGCTGCAAGCAGAAGCGAGGAGGGCAGCGGGAGTGTCTACAGAGGGGTGTAGGTGATCTCTAGCCGGGATTACAAACCCGGCTGCCCAAAGGAAGTGGCTTCCAGCCATCTACACTGGAGAGTAGGAAGGCTTTCTGGTCATGAGGAGGGAGGTGGAAAAGTCACAGGTAGAATAAGCAATAACGATAATTCCAGCCACCGCCTCCTGTGTTCTCTAGAACTTAGGAAGCCTTAGTGCTTATGAAATGCAGCCTGCATAACACTCCTGCACCACCTGGGAAATAGCTGGCCATTTCTCAGATGAAACCAGAGCCCAGAGAAGGGGCTTGGGCTCCCTGAGTCAAGTTTGCCCACTTCCCCACATGCTCCCAGGCCTGTGATCCAGGCCTCCCAATCAGGGCTGGCCTCAACCACCTCCACGGATGGGAAGCTCCTCTCCGAGTTTGGGCAGCTGCCCCAAGGCCCAGCTCAAAGCAGGGAGCCCCTCCCAGGCCCAGCCTCAGAGCTTGGTCCTGCCCAACCCTTCCCCCCCCCCCCCCCATCCCAAAGGCCTTTTGCAAATAACCTTCCCCTCACAAGCCTCATACTAGGTCTTCACTCTCTCAGACCTCCAGCCACTGAGGACGTAGTCACCCCACAGGCGTGATGTGCTGAAAAGCTTCCCCCTCCCCACCAGTGACTCAAGGTGCTCAGAGTCTGATGAGGCCGTGAAACAGAGGGCAACCACATCCTAGGCCTAGAGAACAGGAATGGGGAGGGCCGAGTGCTGAGGGCCCTCAGAGGAGGCGGGGAAAGGAAATGGAGCAGGAAGGCTTCCTGGAGGAAGCTGCATTCGAAGTGGTCTGTAAAGGAGGGGAGGCCCTGACGCTCTGAAAGCAGGCAGCCATGAAAGCTTGATGGGAGGCTGGTTGTGAGCAGAGGTACCTTATCCCTCAGGTTTAAGTTAACCCCCGCAACCAGGAGCATCTCCGCTATGTCCTGCCAGGCGTGCTCCGCGGCAAGGTGGAGGGGCGTCTGCTGCCTCTGGAAGAGAAATCAAGGGTCAGGGAAATGGAAGAGCTTGTAGAGGTGGCCTGTGCTTAAAGCCAGGATAGGACCAAGGTGGGTGCACTCCCAATTGGGCCTTAACAAAGTTTCTCTACGAAGTTACAAGGAAGAGTAAGCTGGGTTTAATCGTAAGCATCATACCAGAGAAAAGTTGGTAAAAACAAAAAAAAAATACTACTCACTAGCCCACCTAAGTCAACCTCTGTAATGATATTTCTCTAGTCTTTTTTTTAAAATGCAGAATGTTCTTAGTTTGTTGGTTTTACATATTTGAGACCATCCTGAATATGCATACATTTTGCACCTATTTTTATACCTAACATAGCACTTTACACATATTATCAACTCTAATAAACACCCATTTTTAAAATCTTCACCCAAGGATATGTTTGTTGATTTTTAGAGAGAGGAAGAGAGAGAGAGAGAGAGTTAAGAGAGAGATGAGAGAGAAACATTCATCAGCTGCCTCTTATATATGCCCTGACCGGGAAATGAACCCGCAACTTAGGTAGGTGCCCTGACTGGGAATCGAACCCACAGCCTTTCAGTGTATGGGACAATGCTCCAAGCAACTGAGTCACACCAGCCACGGCACCCACCATTTTTGATAGCTCCCCAATAGCCCATGTCAATACTATAATTGAATCACTTCTCTATTATTAAGTATTTGGCCCATTTTCACACTGAAGATTGATAATGCTGCAATGAATATCTTTGTGCATGAGCTCTTAATATATTTCTTGAAGCTCAATTCTCAGATGTAAAAATAGTCACAATTTTAATGGTATACGCTATCTCCTGCCAAATTGCTTTCTTCCCCTAGTGGTGTGTGTGTGCGCGCGCACGCTGGCACGGAGGAATTCATGGTTAGGAGGTGGATTGAGGGAACAGGGGTTTAAAAGGGTTCCTGACTGATCACAACTTCAGGACGTGGAGGCCTCTTGTAATTACACAAGACTGCCCCAGTCACCCTGCCCCAGGATTCTCCCGGGGGGGGGGGGGGGGGGGCCGCGGGAGTGGGGGGGACACAATGAAAGGAAAAGGTTGAATGTAGGAAAACTTGAAAACAACCAAAATATTCAAAATAATAGGGGAATGGTTAATAAAAATGATGCTACCACTACCGTCAACAAATCAAGCTATAAAACGATTAATAGCTTTGGGCCATCTGGTAGACTGCAGCCGAGCCCAGCCAGCCTGGGAGGGTGCCCAGAGGCTCTGTGGGAACCAAGTGGATCCTGTAGCTACTTACATTGTCAGTGGCGTCCAGGTCACTGCCAGCATCGATGAGGAGCTGAACCAGGGAGGGGAAGTTGTGCCTCACAGCGAGATGCATTGGAGAGGCTCCCTGCTGGGGTGAGGGAGACACAAATCAATTGAAGGGTCCCTCCCAGGACTGCCGAGCAGGAGGTGGGTGCTGGGGGATGAGAGTAGGGAGGAGCATTGATAGTGCTTCTGGGTTTGATGGGTGGCCTGAGGCATTTATACTCCCATAGCCTGAATCCCTGGGGTCCAAACACTGAACCTCAAGGTGGGTGGGGACCTGAAGACCCACGTTGGAGACTTTGCTATGCCAGGACCTCACATGGTGGCTTTGGGCAAGTCATTTTCCTTCTCTGCTTCTCTTCATCTGGCAAATGATGTTTGCCACGGACCCTCCTGGCAACAACACCTTAGTGTTCGCTCATATCCCATGTAACCCACACATGACCAAAGCGGTGATGGCGAACCTATGACACGCGTGTCAGAGGTGACACGCGAACTCATTTTTTTGGTTGATTTTTCTTTGTTAAATGGCATTTAAATATATAAAATAAATATCAAAATATAAATCTTTGTTTTACTATGGTTGCAAATATCAAAAAATTTCTCTATGTGACACGGCACCAGAGTTAAGTTAGGGTTTTTCAAAATGCTGACACGCCGAGCTCAAAAGGTTCGCCATCACTGTCCTAGAGAGTATATAAGGATGGTACTTTTATTGGTATTTTCATCTTACAAATGGAAATACTGAGGTTCGGAGAACGGATGCAACTTGCCAAAGGACACACAGCTAATAGATACCTTGTGTCATTGAACCTAGCACCTCAGTAGATGCCTGGTACCTATTCATGTGTGATATCAATGGAAGAGAGAGCTGGATGTGACTGGAACAGAGATCTCACTCCAAGTCCAGCACTTATCCAAGGGCTTGCTCAAGGCTAGGAGACTCCCTTCCCTGTGGTCCCCTGGGACCCCTGACTGCATGACAAAGTGAAGATACTGCCACTGTATCCCCTTCTCTAGGTCACACACATACTGTGCAATAGTACAAAGCCAGTAAAATTGGTAGTATAGATCTATACTGATTGTGGAAATATACCCTCACACATTGAGTATAAAAAGATTATAAGACAGAACGCACACACATGCAACAAGAATGCCCACTGTTGCCATCACTAGTTTAGGACAGGGGGAAAACGGTTTATAAATATTAGAAAAGATTTTCCCAGCCAGTGTGGCTCAGTGGTTGAGCGCCAACCTATGAACCAGGAAGTCGTGGTTCAATTCCTGGTCAGGGCCATCGATGATTCTCATTGATGTTTCTATCTCTCTTTCCCTCTGCCTTCTTCTCTGAAATCAATAAAATATATTTTAAAAAAGATTAATGATATCATTATTTGTAGGCAATCTGGTTTTTTCCCTCTAGACAGGTTAAAATCATTATTACCCCCCCTCCCCCACCCAAAACACTACTAAAATTAATTTTAAAAATCATATAGAAGACAAAAACACTCAAGTAATTGTAATAAATGTAGCTCTCCAGTGGGTGGTGTTGATAATAAGGAAGGCTACGAATGTGTAGGGGCAGGGAGCATATGAGAAATCTCTACCTTCTGCTCAATTTTGCTGTAATCCTAAAACTGCTCTAAAAATAAAGTCTATTAAGAGAACCAAAAACACTCAGAATGATGAGGCAATATCAAGGGACATAGGAGCCAACTGAAAGGGCTCCCCAATGGTCAAAGCTGAAACATTTGAGCAACAAAGTAACATTGGATTATAAAAGGATCTAAAGAAATAACTCACAACAAAAGAACTTATAAACTAGAAAAATGACTAATGGTTCAGAGTCAATAGTCATCTAAAACAATAACAAGGAATCACTTAACTATAAAATTAATAGAAGAATATCTAATATGTGTGAAAGGTCACTCATAAATGGCTGGAAGCTATGTGGTATGACGTTTTGGGAAAGCAATTTAACAACTTGCACCAAATCATAAGATCTTGGTACAGAGCAGGAGTTGCCGCCGCCCCAGGCTGAGGCAAGGTGTGGAACAGAATCTGACAGTGATGAATCAGGGCCAGAGCTTGAGGAACAAGATTCCACACAGGCAAACCACACAACAAGCCCACCGGCAGCCGCTGAAATCGATGAAGAACCAGTCGGTAAAGCAAAACAGAGCCAGAGTGAAAAGAAGACGTGAAAGGCTGGGTCCAAACTGGGCCTTCAAGAGGTTACAGAGGTTCTAAGGGTCACTGTCCAGAAATCTAAGACTATCCTCTTTGTCATCACAAAACCAGAGGTCTACAAGAGCCCAGCTTCAGATACCTACGTAGTTTTGGGGGAAGCCAAGATTGAGGATTTATCTCAGCAAGTCCTGCTAGCAGCAGAGAAATTCAAAGTTCTCAGACATTCAAGAAAACACAGACTCCAACTGTCTAGGGGAGAGTGAAGAGGAAGAAGCTGATGAAACCGGGGTGGGAGTTAAGACATAGAATTGTTCATGTCACAAGCACATGTGTCGAGAGCAAAGTCAATGCACGCCCTGAAGAACAATAGTAATGATATTGTAAATGCTATTATGGAATCCACACCGTAACCATCTGAAAACGAGGACTTGTTTGTTTGTTTGTTTGTTTGAAGGAGTGGTTGCTGCTTGGTTTGAAATTTGTTCTGTTGCTATCATTAATAAGCCTTTTTGTGGGATTTTTAAAAAGAATCATAAAAATGTTTTTACTACCTGACCTGGAATCCTGCTTGGAGAACTCATATATAATGCAAAAGCAATAAAAAGTTATGCCATAAAGATGTTCATGAAATCATTCTTTATAGTTGCAAAATCAGCACCAACTTAAATGTCCATCGGTTGAGGATCTGTTAAATGTGATGTGGATACTGGACCACACCTGTCATGGTCAACACCTAAAAAATGTCTACCAGGAAAACTCTGCAGCAACACTGGGCACCTGGGCTCGGGGGACTCCACTGGACTGGAGTCGATTCTGGTGTCTCGATGGGGAAAAACGAATAAGCACCCTCCTTGCAGAAGTCTGCCTTAGCCTGGATTTTTTCTGGAGGTGCTACTAATATGAGGAGAAACTGAAAGGGAATAGAGGAAAGTTATTGCTTTACTAGGGTGTCAGGATTCAGGATGCCCCTTTTCTCTCTAGTCTAATGAATTGTGTTATACTGTTTTTACAATAATTTTATATTTTTTAAACATATTTTTATGTACAGTGGGGCCTTGACTTACGAGTTTAATTCGTTCCGTGACGGAGCTCGTAACTCAAATGACTCGTATGTCAAATCAAAAAGTGAACGAGTGAGACACGTGATGCTGGGCTGATGTTGTGGCGTTCACTGTGACGTTCGCTGCGCCAACTAGCGGTGGGGTATCTGAAGCTGGCTTGTAACCCAAATTTTAGCTCACAACTCAAAGCAAAAAATTGGCCGAGAGACAGCTCTCGTATCTTGAAAAACTCGTTAGTCAGGACACTCGTAAGTCAAGGCCCCACTGTATTTCAGAGAGGCAGGGAGAGGGAGAAAGAGATAGAAACATCAATGATGAGAGAGTTCATTGATTGGCTGCCTTCTGCACATCCCCAGGGAGGATGAAGCCTGTAACCCAGGCCTGTGCCCTGACCAGAATTGAACCATGAACTCCTGGTTCATAGGTTGGTGCTCAACCTCTGAGCCACACCAGCCATAGTACTGCAATAATTTTAAATGGAGTACTGATTTCAGCTATATGAAATGACCTCTTTCTAATTTAAACAATAGATAGTTCCTCGTTTGTGTAATGGGAATAATAACAGTACTTACCGATATGGAAACCGAGGCCCGGGGAGGTCAAAGCTGCTTGCCCAAGGCCATTCAGTTTGAGTGGCAGAGCCAGGCCTCAAAGCCAGGTTGTCTGACACCAAAGTCCAAGCCTTAACCACAAGGTCATACTGTTGCCTATGGTACACTGCATGTGCCACACCATAACCGGAAACGTGTGAACAACCGAGAGGTAAATCTGTAATGAGATCATTCCTAAGACTCAGTGGATAAACGCGAGGAGACACTGCGCTTGGAAGGAATGCGAGCTTGGTTTCGAGTCCTGTCCCACTGAGCCCTCTCCGACTCTCCTACACGCTGCCAGTTGGCCCCCATCCTAACCCCCATCAATGAGTCAGGGAAGACTCTGGGGTCATGGGGGCCCCCTTCCGTGCAGGCCCCCACACTTACATGGTCAGCCACGTTGGTGCAGGCCCCTGAGTGGATGAGGGCCCGGGCCACGTCCTCAGAGCCACTGAGAGCTGCGTAATGGAGGCAGCTCTGCTCTTTCTAGAGGAAAACAGAAATCAATGCAATGCCCTACGGACCCTTCACAGCGGGTTCACACAGCACTGAGGGATTCACTATTCCATGTTTTCTCATAACCCCTCCCCCCTCTACCCCTTCGGGATTATTCTCCCCTTTCAACTCTGAGGCTGGAGAAATCAATGACGCGCCCAGGCCTGGTGACAGTAAAACGAGCTCACTATGACCTCAGCCTGTCCTGGCCTCCTGTCACAACTCCGAACACAGGCCGAAGGCTGCACCATCCCTTAGCCGGGAAAGACACGCAGCGTACAGACTCTGAGGAGGTGGTTTTCAAAGACGGGGACGAATCAGATTTGCCAGTACAGGGCACACCCCACCCGGCACGCGTTGCCCAGCGGGCTCTGGTCTCAGGGTGTCCCAGCAGGACCTGGCGGGGCCAGCGCGAGGACTTCATCCCGCATCAGCTTTCTAAGTGCGCTCCTTCATCAGAGCCCTCTCCCGGCCCAACAAGGCTCTCACACAGAGACCTCCAGGCAGGCCCCAGTGGGTGGCCAAGCAAATGTCCCAGTTTGCCAATATGGGGCCAAGCCAGGACGAGCTGGTCACCCTCTCAAAGTCCTGCCTGGGTGCACGGGGTGGGTGGGAAGTAGCCCACCTCCCAGGGGGAGATACAATCACGTGGGTTGCCCCCCCCACCCCCGGAGACCCTGCTGCAAAACACTCAAGGGGTGAGAATTTCTAGATGGACTGTGGCCTCTGCCGGAAACCTCAAGCCAAGGCTGGAGCACAAGGCCCAGAGAAGTGGGCAGCGCCACCCTCACCATGACCATTATCAGCTCCCAGCCTCTAAATGCCTATGCTTTTCCTGCTACAGAGCCCTCCCAGCACTGAGCGCTGTGCTGGGCACAGGGAAAGGGCCTTGCTGACCAAAGAGCAGCACCTGAGGACACAGCTGGGAGCCCTGAGGCAGCCACTTTCCCTCTCTGGGCCTTGGTGTCCCCCCTCCCCCATCCCCTAGGCCAGTGGGTCCCTTCTAAGGGAGCTCCGTACATTAAGTGTTTCGTGGCTTATAAAACATTATTCATATTTAGAGTGGTTTAACACGGGTATTTTTACATTTGCCATTTTGCTATTTATTTTCTTTTTTGTTACTAATCCTCACCCTGGGATATTTTTCCCATTGATTTTCAGAGAGAGTAGAAGGGAGGGGGAGGGACAGAAAGAGAAACATCTATGTGAGAGAGACACATTGGTTGGTTGCCTCCCCATTTCATAGTTGGGGAAAGAGGCTCAGAGAGGTTAAGTAACTTGCTCAGATCACAGCAGCTCAGCAGTGGAGAAGCCAAGACCAGCACCTGGGCCTGCTGCCTCATAGCCTCCGGGCACACAATGTTCTGGAATCATTGTGGCTGTTACTGCTGACACGGTTACAGCTCAGCAGCCCAGGGCAGCCGTCCCAGAAACCTCAAGCCAAGGCAACCAATTGATGTGTCTCTCTCATATTGATGTTTTTTCCCCCTCTCTTCCACTCTCTCTAAACATCAGTGGGCCCAGCCGGCATGGTTCAGTGGTTGAGTGTTGACTTAGGAACCAGAGGTCACAGTTTGATTCCCAGTCAGGGTACGTGCCCGAGTTGTGGGCTCGATTCCCAGTGTTGGACATGCAATAGGAAGCCGATCAATGATTCTCCCTCATCATGGATGTTTCTATCTCTCTCTCCCTCTCCTTTCCTCTCTGAAATCAATAAAAATATTTTAAATAAATAAAAATGGAAAAAATATCCTTGGGTGAGGATTAACAAAAAGCCTCAGACATGCACTCCAACAAAATAATTACTTGGTTATGTGTAAGATAAGGAATAGAGCTATTTAAAAGTCTGCTGTCAGTAATGGAGAGGCCTGGCTACCTGAGTGAGGGCATTCACGCTGCTCCCGGCCTCCAGGAGGAGCTGCACACAGTCGGGGTGGATCCCTTCAGCAGCGGCGTGCAGGGCGGTCAGACCTTCCTGAAACACACGGGAGAAGGGGAGAGGTATGGGGAGGGCAGGAGGCTGAGGCCAGGACCTGAGACCAGAGGACACCCTCCTGCCAGGCTCCCGGGCTCAGAGCTCTCCACTGCCCTGCTCCTAGGACAATGGCCCCATTACCTGCGGTTCCCTAATCCCCGCCCCTGATTGTCTCACCCTGAGGGACAGGTGGTCCATTCACCCCCTCCGCCACCCCTCTGCTCAGGCTCTCCTGCCCTCCAAGCAGCCTCACCCCGCTCCCTGTCCATTCCCTCCTCTTCCAGGAAGCCGCCCCTGCCCATCCTGGTCACGAGACTCCTCCCTTATGTGAGCACACACCCTGTGCATGACTTCCTCGTAACCCCTCCTGCCTGGTGCCCCACTAAGCCTGGAGTTTTGTGCCCCGGCTTAGCTTTTCCTGGCGGGCTGTTGGGTCAAGAACATACCCTCAGCTGCCAGCTTTAGGGCCTCTATCGGGGAAAACCACGGGCTGTGGGTTCCTTGAAGGCAGAGAGTGAGTGTCAGCCATTTCTGCAGCAACTCACCGCATTCCTCTCCTCCAAGTCCAGCCCGATGTCCACGAGTTGCTGCAACACAGCCAGGTGGCCCCGGCCGGCGGCCAGGTGCAGAGCCGTGTTCCCCTCCTGCAAGAAGGGGCTGGTAGAATCACACACCTTCCAGGCTCTGAGGGCCTGCGAGAGCCACCCCTTGTTTTATAGACATGGAAACTGAGGTCCAGAGAGGGAAGGTGACATCTCCAGAGTCACAGAGCAAGTCCATGACACGCTGCAGCCCTGAATGCCGGGCCAAAGCCATCCTGCTCCTGAGAACTGTGCCAAAGACTATAACCAGGGTACTTCCAAGGGCCGAGTCCTGGTCTCTCTTTTTTGGACAATTCAAGGCAGACACATACTTAAAAAAAAAAAAAAAAAAATCCCTACTTTCCATGCTCCTGTCTAAAACTGGCTCCTCCCTGGGGACTGCAGACCACCCACCCTCCTTCTGCTCAAGGCCAGGACCCCAGTCACTGCGCCTTGCCCTTTCCCAAGACATTATTAGCTTCTCATGGAATACTGTGGCCCACCCTGACCACACATTTAAAACTGGGACCCCACCCCTGTCCTCCCGATCCCCTCGTCCTGCTCGACACTTCCTTCTTCTCCATAGCACCGCCGGCCTCCTCAGACCTGTAGGATTTCCTTGTCTCCCATGCTCGTGGCTTATTGTCTGACTCTATTGGCAGAGCATCAGCACCACAAGGTGGGGAGTTCTGTCCATTTTGTTCTCTGGTTCCCCCGAGCGACTAGCATAGGACCCGGGCACACGGCAGACTCTCAATAGACATTTGTCCAATGAGTAAATAATGTGATGGGAGCTTCCCATTGGCCTCCTGGCACTTGAGAGCCAGAGGCCTGGCCGTCGCCTCACATGTGAGAAGCCCAATGGTGACTGTGGCGGAACCAGAGGCTTCATGCGGCGGGCCAGAAGGCACATGTTCTTTGTATTAGAAGTCCCTGCTTGGGGGACAGCTGGAAGGAGGGTGCAGGGCCCCAGCAAAGAGGAGGACAGCCGGAAGCGGCCAGAGATAAGTATGTCCCTAAAGAGGAACCACAGATGGAAGACCAGGGCAAGGTCCCCTGAGGGACCACAGAAGCGTCCAGAAGGGAAGATGCAGCCTTGGCCATTCCTCACACCCCAAAGGCCCCTGGGTCACCTCTCGCCGAACCAGTCATAGGGGCCTCCTCACTCAGGCTCTTTCCTTGTGCTGGCCTGTCTCACTGCCTTCATGAGGGGTGGACATTCCCATTTAGCACAGATCTTTAAAGGGCCCGAGGAGGATGTGAACATATGCCAAAGCCAAAGCAGTACTTAAAAGAGTTAAAACCATGCCCCGTTCTCCCATCGTAGATCCACATGTACATAAAACAGCTATAACTATCTTATGAGATCAAAGGTGAAACATTTGCATTTCTTTTATGATGACAGTTATATCATATTAATAAACAAAAAACAAGTTTTAAAAATCCCAACAGCTTTGTTCTGCTTCTCCCCCACTTCTCTGCAAATGTGCATTTAGCGGCCTAGTCAGCTCTCTGCAGCAACAAGGATCAGGCTGGGAATGTGGCCATAGCGTGAAGTCTCCGTGATCAAAGAAATGCAAACGCACTGACATGTGCCCCCAGCTAGCAGGGCAGGGCTTTCTTCTTCCTTCTATAAATATCCACATCCTGCCCTTTGAAGCCGCAGGTGGCAGGGACCCCTAAAAGGGCACTTGAATTCTGCCTGAGCAGGAAGGGGGCTCAGAGGCAGGCGGTAGAGGGCATGGCCTGGGGTCCAGTGACCTCTGCCCTCTGCAGTGGGGATGCCCAACCTCTCCACCTCTGTGAGGCCCTATCAGCATCTCCTCAATGTACCCAGTGGTATTCATCACTTCCTCTGGATGCTCAAAGCCTCTCTACCATCACAGCACCTGTGGCATAACGTGTGTTGTCACCGTTATGTCATTGCGTTGTCTGACAGGTGGGGTAGCAGGAGTCAGACCTTCAGTAGCCCAGAGCCTTGAAAAGCTCTCTCTGCTGCCCTCCCCAGATGAAATACAAAATGAAAATATTCCTCATCTGAGCATTCAGAACTTCACAGGGGTGTGTAGTTTTAAATGCTTCTTTCTAGAATTTCTGATAGCAGGCTTCTGAGCAAGTTCATCAAAGCTGGGCTAGTTGGGCCGGCATAGCTCAGTGGTTGAGTATTGACCTATGAACCAGGAGGTCTCGGTTCTATTTTTGGTCAGGGCATATGTCCTGGGTTGCGGGCTGATCCCTAGTAGGAGCGTGTAGGAGGCAGCCAATCAATGATTCTGTCTCATCATTGATGTTTCTATCTCTCTCTCCCTCTCCATTCCTCTCTGAAATCAACAAAAATACATATATTTTTTTAAAAAAGCTGGGCTTTTCTCGTCCTCTGGTTTTGGTGCTCTTGCTCTCCTGGGCCCTGAGTGCAATCTTCTTGCCTCCTGAGTAATGTGTCCTGGCAGGGGCTGTCCTTTCGCCCTCTCTGTAACCCTGCTTCCCGGCTCAGTGCCGGGCACAGAACACAGCCATTTCCAGCCATGTTTCCAAAATGAAGGAAAGCACCCTAATTGGAGTCTCAGGACCCCACTCAGCCTTTTCATCCCCAAGGATGAATGCAGGCAGATGAATGCAGTGCAGACCTGAGGGCTCAGTGCCCCAGGGCGCAGCCCAGGGAGAGGAGGAAGCACAGAGCTAGGCATCAGGATGCCGGCTCCAAACCCAGCTTGGCCGAGGCCTCGCTGTGTGACCCAGGCCAAAGCAGTCCCCTCCCTGGCTCTCAGTTTCCACATCTGTGCAGTGAGAAGGTTGAACTGGCCCCCGATGAAGATGCCTTCCAGCTCTAACACCCTGCGATATATTTGTCTGTGAGCTCTCTGTCCCCTAGCATAGGAACAGGACTCCTATCTGGCCAAGCACGTTAATCAGAGGATTAAAAACGGAGTTCATCTCTTTGTTAGAAGCATTGTTTAGAATCTGCTGCAACATATTTGCCTAATGCAGCGGTTCTCAACCTGTGGGTCGCGACCCCTTTGGGGGTCAAATGACCCTTTCACAGGGGTCGCCTAAGACCATCGGAAAACACATATATAATTACATATTGTTTTTGTGATTAATCACTATGCTTTAATCATGTTCAATTTGTAACAATGAAATTGGGGGTCACCACAACATGAGGAACTGTATTTAAGGGTCGCGGCCTTAGGAAGGTTGAGAACCACTGGCCTAATGATTTGCAATGATCCATTGATACGAGTCATTTGCAGGGTGGTCCTTCCAGTCCCCATCCCTCACTCCTCAGATTCGTGAAGTGCTCCCTCCTCAGTGCTCTCACCCTCCTTTTGCCATAATCACTGTAGCTTACTAAACCACAAAGAAAGCAAATGACCACAGGAGGGTGGCTACCATCCCCCTAACTCTTCCCACACCCCCAACAACAGATGTTCCCAATGGAATCACAGTCCGCTCATACCCACCAATCCGATTTGCCAGCCTGACTCCCCGTATTAGATCGTAGCTCTTTACTAGGACTGTGGCACCGAGTTCCTTGAGTAAGAAACTGTCTCGGGCATCTCTGTGCCCCTCACCTGTAGCACAGAGTTGGCCCAGAGAGTGTGCCCAAGAAACGCCTGCTGGATGGACATCGGACACACTCTGGTCTTTGGGCTCCTGCCCCTCCAGCAGGTTAGAGGCAGAAGCAGGCCCAGATGAGCTGCCAGCGCCCACCCCTCTGGAGCCCAGCACCTGGGACCTGCGGTCACAGTACCTTGTCTTTGACACTGTGGTCACAGCCAGAGCCCACCAGGAAGTCCAGAGCCTCCAGCTGTCCGTGTGCGGCCGCCAGATGAAATGCTGTCCTTCCCAGCTGACGGGCGGAGAAGAGAGTGAACTTTTACGCTCTGTCCCCCGGCCTCTATTTCCCCAACCACGTCGGGCTTGCCGTGGCTTCTCCTGACCCAGACACGGTCCCCTCTCCTGGCCCCACACACCCAACTTCCCAACAAGACCCCACTAGCGGGTCCCTCCCCCACTGACACCCTCCTGTGGCTCCCGGCTGCCTACTGAGTAAGGGACAGAGTCCTGAGGCTGGGGGTGGAGCTCTTCATGAGGGACCCCAGCCCTCTGGCCCTCACTCCCAATATTCTGACCAGCCTGATCTCACACACAAAGGGCCCTTTTCCACCTTTAACTCTCTAGGGTGCTCTCTCCTCCGTTTGGAACGGCCCCCTGCTTTCCAATCTTATTGACAGAATTCAGTTCATCTACCAAATGCCACCTCCTCCAGGAAGCAGGAAGCAGTGGCTTCCCTCTCTAACACGTCTAGTCCTTATCAGAGCCTCTCTGATGGAACTAACCACATTTCTGCTGTGTCTTGCTCATTTGTGCCCTAATGTCCCTTCTAGACCCGCAGCTCCCTGAGGTGGGGTCCAGTCTGCACCAGCCACAGCTCAAAGGACACACCTGAGGAACGGGCAAGAGTGGCCCTAGGAGCCCCGGGCCCAATGGGAAGGACAGGCTGGATGCCACCCTCACCTTGTCAGCATGGTCCAGGGCCACGTCCTCCAGGTCTTCCATGATGAACGCCAGCACCGGCACGTGGCCTTTCTGGGCTGCGCAGTGCAGTAAGGTTAGGCCGTCCTGAAACAAGCCCAGGGTGGTCCCTGCAGTCTGGAACGGAGACCCTCCTCACACACTGTGAGGAAGGAGGTCTCCTGGCCCCACAAGTAACATCAGTGAGGGAGGTTTGCAAATGCTGTGTTGACAGCCCAGAGCCTCTACCCTGGCCTCCCATTACAGCGAGAGTGTTTAAAGCACTGCTTTTCAAATAGATTGCAACCACCAACGGGTCATAAAAATCAATAGAACAATGTCTCACCTCTTGACAGTGGTTTGGGTTATACAGGAGCAGCATTTGTCAAATCTCAGAGAGTATACATTTAAGATTTGTGTATTTCCTTGTATGTAAGGAAATTGAACCCTAGTTAATGATACGTATGCTGAAGTATTTAAAGGAAGTACACTAATGTCTATAATTTATTTTTAAATGCATCCAAAATTTATAAAGAACTCTAAAAACTCATCAATGAGAAATTAAACAACACAATTATAAAATAATTTGGACATCAAAGCACAGGGAAGGCAAATAAGCATATAAAAAGATATCTGACATCATTAGTTGTTATTGAAATGCAAATTAAAACCACAAAGAGTTTCCAACAATAGACTATGGAAAGGGGAAAAGGCTAACATTACAGTGGAGAAACCTGGCCGTCTCTACTTTAACTAACTGATGAAGAGTGATATTGTGGTTTATAATTAGAAATATATATTTGCTCTTTATCCCTCTTCCTTGAACAGAGCTCCTAAAACCTCTGAAATTTCCTAAATGGTGAAAGCGTTAAAGGTGTCTTTTATTATGTTAATGAGGTAACTGCAAAAACCCCTAGGTAACGTCAGGTTGGGGCCTGGTTGCCTGGGGAACCAACCTTGATTAGAAGGTTGAAACTTTGTCCCTGACATGCAGGGATGGAGAGGACCAAAGGTTGAGTCAAGCAACAATGGCCAAGGATTGCCTCACTCATGTCTACGTAATGAAGCTCCACAAAGACCCAAAAGGAGGGGGTTCGGAGAGCTTCCAGTTGGTGAACCACAACGCATCCAGGTGCTGGGCCCCACACTCCACGAGGACAAGACGCTCCTTTGTTAGGGACCTGACCCTGTTATGGATGAAAAGGGGGCACATGCACACCTGACAAGCTCAGGGAAGGCCTGCATGGTGACCTTGCAAACTCAGAGACCTAAAGTAACCACAAAGGATGGTCTGAAATGAAAACTTTTTAAAATAAAAAGTCGTTTATGATGGGTAGTCATGTCCTAGGCCTGTATCTTCCCTGACAAAGATCAACTTTGACCTTCACTGAGCCTATTGTCTTTTTGCATCTACGATAACATGGAATGTCAGGGTAACTTCCCTGTTTCCAGACCCCTGAGGACACAGCCTATGCACCAGGAGGAGACCAGAGTCCCTCACTGTTATTGTTCTCCTGCTAATTGTTGACTGCTAACTAGCCTGTGCCCCCTTGTAAAAGAAGCATGTGTCTATCATTTTACTTTTTATCCAATCCCAGAGGTTTCCCAGCTTTGCTTTCTCCCACCTCCCTAATCTATCACCAATGGATTTCATGTAACCCACTTACATCTCCTCTTTTGATTGTAGTGTATAAAACAAAGTGCAAAACTACCATTCTCGGCAGCATTATCTCAATCCATTGAGATTCTGCTTCCTGGCAATTGTCACAGTTTGGCTCAAATAAACTCACAAAAATTCTTCACAGGTTTGAATGTTTCTTAGGTTAACATTATGTATCTCTTCATCTGGCTAGTGATTCATATCCTTTAATATCCCTTATAATAAACCAGTAATCTAGTAAGTAAATGAGTTTCCTGAGTTCTGAGAGCTGCTCTAGCAAATTATTCAAACCCGGGGAGGGGTTCGTGGGGAGCCAAAATAACAGGCTGGACTTGGGATTGGCCTCTGAAGTGAGGCAGGCTCAGCCTGTGGATATGATGCTGTCTCCTGGTAGAAAGTGTCAGAATTGAGTTAATTTGGTGGGACCCCTGGTCAGTGTCTGTGGAGAATTGAGTTAATTACTTGGTAGCATGGAAGAACCACACACATAGGAACTGGTGGCAGAATTGGATCAACGTAACATTGCCAGTGACAAATCATGGTGGTGTCATATGCCCCCTGATAGCAGGAGGTGAGAAAGGAACTTGATCTCTGTGGTCTCCTTCCCAAAATTCTGTCACCCCAATCTAATCATCAGACAAGCCAAAATGAAGGACTTTCTACGAAATACTTGATCAGTGCTCTTCAAAAGTGTCAAAGTTGTGAAAAACAAGAAAAGATTGAGAAACTGTCACAAGATAAAGGAGACTAGGGAGACAAGATGACTAAGTGCACTGTAGAATATTAAGTTTAAAAAAAAAACTGATGAAATTTGAATGCAGTCTGTAGTTTAGTAAAACCTGAAATGTCACCAATGACTGGTAAGGTAAGCTTTGGGCCGAGCAGACAGGGGTAATGGTGGCCTCTGACCCAGGCCACAGCTCAACTAACAGTGAGATGAGTACCTTTGGGAAAGACCTTGAACAAGGGATTGAAAGTAAGACTGGTGGGCTGTTTGCAAAGATGGCTGCTACACCTCTTCCCAACCCCCTCCACCCTTGGCAACACCCTAAGTGGGGGGGCTGTACTGCTCTTTTCAGGGGGAAGCCAGCTCTCTCCATCCCCCCAACCTAAGCTGGCCCTGTGACGGGCTTTGAGCAATAGAATGTGGTGGACACACTATCATGTGACTTTCCAGCCTTGGCCTCAAGAGACCATGCCACTTCCACCCCTGCATTCACCCATCACTGAAAGAAATGTTAAAATCTCAAGCAGACGTTTGACAGAAGTGAAATAAAATGTTCTTTTTCCATCCAGATCCCTGGGCCCCTGAAGTTGAGAAGCCCTGGCTGACAGCATGTGGCCAAGATGTTTCCATTTCCTTTAGAACCACTGTGCAGGGGTTCCAGGCACTCCACCTGGCTGGGCCCTCCCGCTTCAAACCACAGCGCACACCAGTGACAGCGAGGGACTGCTGGGCTCCCTGACACTGCCCCAGGTAATATATGCACAGCACTGCACGTGCTTCTCCCACAGCTCGGAGGTGGGTACCAGCATCCCCACTTCCAAAGGGGAAAACTGAGATTCAGGGGGTAGAGTAACTTGCCCAAAGATCCCAGAGTTTGGTAACCAGTGCTTCCTCCTACCCCGCCTCCCTGAGCACAAGGGAGGCAGGGTCCCCCCTCCCTCTCATTTAATCTTCCGACCACCCTCTGAGGGTGTCACTTGTATTCCACTTCTGTGAATGAAGAGGCTGGTCAGGCAACTGGGGACTGTCATAGCATCTAGAGTGGTAAAGGATGAGGGGATCAGAAGAAAGAGGGGTTCAATGTTGATGGAAGAGGCACCTCTGGCCCTTCTCCAAGTGCCAGTGGGAGCAGAGACGGTCCCAGTTTCACAGGGTTGAGCTCAGCTGGGTTTTCAGGAGGCAAACTGGGGCAGGCAGAGGCATGTATGTGGGACCAAAGGGAGCAGCGATAGGGCAGGTGTCAGAGGTGGGGCACACCTGTGCAGTTGGGTGAGGGGACAGAAGGGGCAGGGGCAGTGGGGTCCAGTGGGCTGCCAGTTGAGGCCTTACCTTGTTCTCACAGTGGATCTTGGCCCCTGAGTTGACCAGGATCTGAAGAATCTGTAAGTGGCCAAACCAGGCAGACAGGAGAAGTGCATTCATCCCAAACTAGGGGAGAGGACACGGGAGGAGGGAAGGAGAATGTGAGGAGGTATGGCTGCTTTGCAAAGTCACACAACCGTAAGTGCCACCCAGGCCAAGGAGCGCCCAGCTTTAGGAATTTAAAGTCCAGGACATTTTTAAAAATAGAGGCTGATATACTATTGCAAACTTTCAGGGTAGGGGAGGTTGCTGAATAAAACAGCTGCCATCTACTGTCACCATCATTTCATAAAGAGAGACCATTTTAACGCAAAAAATTTGGAGGGAGCCAAACTCAGAATGTATTCTTTCCGAATACAGTTTTTTAAAAACATGTTTTTTATTGATTTTTAGAGAGAGGAAGGGAGAGGGAGAGATAGAAACATCAATCAACTGCCTCTTGAATGCCCCCTACTGGGGATCGAGTCCAGAACCTGGGCATGAACCGGTGACCTCCCGTTACATGGGTCGAATGCTCAACCGAGCCACACCAGCCAGGGCAATATTTAAATTTAGACTCTTAAATGTATCCCTGTCAAATGCCATTGTCAGATGCAGCCCCTTCCACAAGCCTGTAGAGCTAATTTTGTAGATCCTGCTAATTTCAGTGCTCAGCAATGTGCTGCTTGCCAATTTGCTAGTCTTTGTGCAACTTGTTGGTTAAAGGATTAGACAGGACAGGGCCTTGTGGCACAGCAAGAGAGACCTGCCTTCTGGTGACTTTACTAATCCACTCAGTTATCTGTTTTACAGCCCAGATCTCTCCTTGCCCACATGATAGCAGGAGGAACTGAAAAGGCTCTCTGACCACTGAAAGGCCCTTGAAAATGGAGAGATCTCTATGACTGGACAAGCGATAAAGGGAACCCCTGCAGTGTCAAAGCCCCTAAAGACTTAGACTCCCCGCCCATCTGCACCTGCGCATCTGCATAGCAGCGGTAACCTTGGCAACAACAGTGTTCATAGATCCAGAGTGAGCTTCCCCACCCTGAGACAGACAGACAGACATGCACACACAGACACGCCTCCATAGGGGTCCCGTACCGCATCCTCATCGTCCAAAGCAGCCTCATGCTCCAGGAGCAGCCGCACGGCTTGCTCGTGCCCTGCACCTGCAGCCCAGTGCAGGGCCACCCTGTCCACCTGCCAGGAGTGAGAGGAATCCTGTGAGGCACTGGCTGGCTGCCTGGCCCACCTCCCCCACCTCCACCACCACCAGGCCAGGAAGCTGGTCTACAGCACGGGAGGCCTTTGCTGGCTCTGGTGACCAGTGACTGGGGCCCCAGCCGCATCCTGGTCCCTTCCGCCTCAAAGGGCAGAAGCTGAAATGCACGTAGTAAAACACAACAACTAGATCCATCTGTCCCCCACCTGCAACTCTTCACAGCTCCCCACTGCTCCTGGGACAAACTGCATGGCCTGGCCCTGCCTACCACTGCTTCTCAGAAATGCCAGCTTCCCCACTCTGTCTGTTCCTGTGGCCTGTGGCTTTTCTCCATGTCCTTAAGGGTCCCTGAGGGCCTGGGTTCTCTCCCCTCTTTCCCTGAGAATGGGTCTGAAGGCTCCTGACCCCCCACCTAGTTCTCACACCACCTTGGCAATTTATGATGGCATCTGGCTCTCGGCACATCCGAGCAGGCCTGGTGGAAGCCAGTGTCCCTCCATAGTTTTCTGCTTGTGAAGTGACAATGAAAGAAACACTAATTTTCGGAGTGGTGTCTCTGCCTGGAACACTGTCCTTCTTCACTGGCTCCTACAAAAACACCTCTTCCTCAAGAAGCCTCCCCTGTCCCTCAGGTGGGACAGACCCCTCTGACCCCCATGGAGCTCAACTTACCACCATGGAAATGAATTGTTTGTGATACTCAGTTTAATGTCAGAAATCCTGTTACTATTACTGAGTCCCAGGAAGGCTCTGGAGACCCAGGTCATACCCTTGTCGTGTCACGCGGACAGAGCAGCCTCTGCTGGGGTCAGAAACCCTGCATCCAACCTTTTCAGCCTCCACTGACTAGTACCCAAGCTGGCACCTCCTCTAAGGTGCTCCTGACAGCCAGAGCCCCGAGGCGGGAGATGCTACCCCGGTGGTACCCAGGCCTATCCTCAGTGTCCCCCACCAGAAGGAATGGCTTTGCCCTCTGTCCTCTTCCCCAGCAGGGCTGTGGACCACCTCACCTGCAGCCTTCCCAGAGGCCTGATCAGCTGGGCTGCCTCCCAGCCTGGTCTTTGAGTCCCTGAGGGCAGGCGGGGGCCCACAGCAACTTGACACATTCAGTGGGCACAGAGGGCCCTCAGAGAATTGAGCTGGACGGCTGCCTCATGCATGCTCAGACTCTCTTGGTATGGTCTCTCTTGGTCTCAAACCCCTGGACTTCTGACCTCAGGCATCACTCCATCTTTGTCCCTCCAGGTTCTGCTCCTATCTGCCTATCTGTGAGCCTCTGACTCCTGACCTTCCTTGGGTATGCCTTTCAGATGGGTCACAGTATCTACATTATAAAAGGTCTGTGGCCCTAACGACTGGTGCGGGTGGGCAGGGCGTCAAACATGGCGAGGCCGCGCGGGTGGGCGGGGCCGCACTCTGGGCTTCTAGTCTATAATAATAAAAGTGTAATATGCTAATTAGACCGGACAGCCCAACAATCTTCCGGATGAAGCTGGGCTGCATCAGGACTCTAGTAACTTATAAGAGTATAAGTTCTGGAATTGCCCAAGTCTGGCTCAGAATCCTGACCCTGACTTGGGGTGAGGCCTCAGAGACCTTGAGACAATGTGGACAACCTGCAGATGCAGATGCAGATGCAGACACCATAAACTCTCCCTCCTGGGGGGAGGCGTCCCCGCCACACTGTGCCCATCCCCCTGGAGCTGGAGGAGCCTGGTTACGCACGTGGTTTCTGGCCCTAATGTTGACTCTGCTTCTGATCAGCTCCTTCATCCTCCCGATGTTGTTCCTGCGGGCAGCCTCGTGGAGCTGCCTCTCCAGAGGAAGCACTGTGGGAGAAAAAGGGGAGTGGGGTGAGAGTGAGGGTCTCACACTGCATACAAGGTGCAGTGAACAGCCCCTCCCTGGCTCCAAATGTTTTCTGGGCTGGGGTCTTCCAAAGGAATGGAGCGTGAGGGGGATGCCATATGTCAGGACTTCCCCAGACAGCTTGCGTTTCCTTCTAACTCACCACAGGTCCACATGGCCAGGACTCGGCCAAACCCTGAACATGGGAGACCATGGGCAAGACCATCCGCAGAGCTGGGTGTGTGCCCCTCACCCGTTAGAGGTGCCCCATCACCCAGGCTTCATGTCTGCTCTCCCAGAGCTGCTCTTAAGAAGGGAATGGAATTCATCCCCCCTGGAGTCTACAGCTGCCTTTTTCACAGCCCTGAATAGGAAGCAGCCAGGAGCTACTGAGTCCTCTGCTGCGCCGGGCCCTGTGGAGGCCAGGGGCATGCTCACCTGGCTTCCGTCTTCATCCTTCCGCCTCTTCTCTTCTCTCCCAGCTAGGGGGCCTTCCCTGCGGTCTCTCTGCACACCTCTCACCCTCATCATGCACCTTCATTTCAGTCTCAGACAAGAGAGAACCTCAGAGCTCCCCTGCCAGCCCCCTACATGGGCAGCAGTGGACTCAGAGGGTGAGTGGCCACGTCAGGAGGGATCAGGCCTGGTGACCCCCATGCTGCTGTCATCCTGACTGCTCTCGGCTTGTGAGGATGTCTGAGCTCCTTGGCTGGACCTTAAGGTCCTTGCGGGCCCTGGCCACACCGGACCCTTCCCAATCCACCTACAGCTCACAGCAGGCCCAAAGCTGGGCACAGGAAGGGATCCACAAAACTCTGCTTCCATGAGTGACACCAATAATCCCCAGACTAAGAGATGCCCATCCCTCCTCCAGAAAAGCTTGGACACACAGACACAAATATTTCCTGGCCCTTTGCGCAGCCATTGCAGGAGGTAATCTTGTGGTTTTATTGCTGCCAGACCCACATCCTGCATGTATGGTCCAGTGTGAATGTCTAAACCCAGTCTCTGTCTAGGGACAGGTGGCCAGAGATGCATTGAGGTGACAGACAGGCCTACCATCAGTTTGGTTTGCCTGATAAATTCCACTTGGCTTCCCAGATGTGGGAGAGGGTCTTGGGCTTTCTGGTGCCTCACAGATACAACCTGTGGACCTCAGAGTAGCTGCCCTAGGGCAATCAGCTCCGGCTGAGTCATTGCCTGGCTGTAAGGCTTAGTTACTTAATTATCCCGTGCCTCAGTTTCCTCATATTCCAAATGGGGACATAAGCTGCCCTCCAGGGTTACTGTAATGATTAGATAAGAGAAGCCTCTAGCATGGTGTCTGGTAAGTAGTGCCACCATTGTCATCACTATCATTCCTCCAAGGCAAAAGATCAGAGATTAAATTCTGGTGGCGGCGACAGGAGATTTGTGGGTGGTGGGCACACGGTGCAATAGACAGATCTTGTCATATAGAAACTCACACCTGAAACCTATATGTTCATGTTGACCAATGTCACGCCAATAAATTTAATAAAATAAATAAATAAATTCTGGTGGCCAAAGACCTGGAAGTGAGCCAGTGAAGCCCTAACCAAGGAAAGCACCTCCCTGCCCACCTCCCTGCATTACTTCTCTCCATTACACCTCTCACCATGGGCAAACGCTATATTCACATATTTAAGTTCACAGTCTCCTTCCCCCATTATAATGTAAGCCCATGATGGGACAGATTTTGTCTGATTTGTTAATTACTATATCCCCAAATTCAGGCCCTGGCATGCATCTATATGTGTGTAATTTTTAAAATATATATATTTTATTGATTTCAGAGAGGAAGAGAGAGGAAGATAGAAATATCAATGATAAAAGAGAATCACTGATTGGCTGCCTCCTGCATGCCCCCTATTGGGGATCAAGCCTGCAACCAGGACATGTGCCCTTGACCAGAATCAAACCCGGGACCCTTCAGTCCGCAGGCCGACACTCTATACACTGAGCCAAACTGGCTAGGGCAATGTAATTTTTAAAATTTGGGCCCTGGCATATATTTGTTAAATGAATGCGAAACACACAAATCATTAAATCTCTTCAGGGCCTTGGAACTGTAAAATACTGCCTCAGTTAAGACTCATTAGCCCCATGGAAAACAAAGCCGTAAGCTCAGGGAAATGATAGGAAAGAAGCCCAGGGGAAGGCAGCTTCCTGTCAATACTTCAGGGGATGGAGAAAACACCACCTTCCAAGTGAGGTCCACCTTGATAGTGCCATCTCCCCATTCCGAAGGGCCTGCCTTTCCTGCAGTGAGGAGGCCCTTCTGGAAGAGCCCCTCTCAGACCTCAAACATCTCCAGGAAGCACAGGCTCCCAGCTTTTCTTTCCTTAACCTCTTGGCTGTAAACCCCCACGACCCAGGTTTGGGAAAGGAGCTGGCACTGCAGGTGTGAGCTTAGAGAAGCTGGGGTTCTAGTACCCCCTCTGCCACTTTCTAGCAGCAGGATCCTGGGCTGCCCCCCCCCCCCCCGCCTCCCCCCTCCCCCCGGGAGTCTCAATTTCTTCAGCTGTAACATTGCAGGAGGGTCAAGAGAAAGTGATCTGAAGCCATCCCTTCCAGCTCTGACTCCTTTCTCTTAGCTGAAGCCCAGGGGCTGTGGGCTGGTTTGTGTTGGCAAACAGCCAGGAGTCCAAATGGGAGCAAGCCGACCCTGCACAGCCTAGATACAACTGAGTCTCCTCTCTTCCATGCACCTCAGCCCACGCATCCTCTTTGTGGCCACATCAGATACACACGGCACTCTAATCCCTGGGCCTCTGCCCAGGCTGGGGCCTCTGCCCAGAATTCCATCCCACACTCCCCCATGCATCTGGCTGCACATTGTAAAGGTCCCGATCATGTGACCCTCTGTCCCAGGCAGAACCCTGTACCCTTTGAAGTAACACCTTGATAAAGCCCCTCCCCCACCCCATCCCCTTGAGGCCGCTGGCACCATCCTTCTCTCCCCTCTCCCAGCTGATGCCCACCTGGCTGCTGCTCCCTGGCCTCGGGACCCTGGCACTGGGCACACCATAGCCCCTCCCCTCTGGGTTTCAGTTTCCCCATCTGATGTGGTCACGGATCTTCACGCACCGGGGATGCTGGGGGCGCTGGGGGCGCTTAATGACTGTGACCTTGGGCCCCTTATTTAACCACCCTGTGCCACAGCTTTCTCTTCTGCAGAAATGGAGATGGCAATCGGTCCCACCACTAGGGCCGCCATGGAGGTCAAGGACGCTGCCTGCCGCTCGGCCTGGCACAGCAGTGAGCTCTCAGTAAAGGATCGCAGCGCCGGCTTATTGCGAGCGAAGGTCTCAGGCTCGTGGCCAGTGTCCCCTCGGCCCGATGCACGTTCCTCTCGGCGCCACAAAGGAGCCCAAGGCAGAGAAGGACACGTGGACCAAGACAATCCCAGCCGGGGTCGCCCCCGCGGGCGTATGGGGGGGTGCGGGGGGTGCGGGAGATGCTCTGGTCCCCTGCCCGCCCCTCCCCCGCCCCCGCCCCGGCCTCGCAGCGCTGCGGACTCACGGCCGTCGGTCTCCCAGAGCAGGTGCTCCTCCATGCCGCCGCTCGCAGCCCCGCGCTCGCCCCGCGCCAGCCCGCCAGCCGCGCATCCCCGGAGCCGGGCGGGAGGGGAGGGGAGGGAGGGGGCGCGGAGCCGGGGAGGGGAGCATCCAGGTGCGGGCGGCAGCCGCTCCCCTTGACCCCCCTCCTCCCCCCGCCTGGGCCCTTGGGGATGATGTGAACTCGGCCCTGCGGCCTCTCCCCGCCCCCGCTGCCCATCCCCCGCCCCCCATCCCAGACCAGGCTGCAGGTCCCTCCTGCGGCTCCCTGGACCTGGCCCACCACGCGTGTCGGGGAGGGAGGGGCCACTCTGGCTCCCCAGGTCCCCCTCGGCGTGTCTCCCTCCTCCCCTCCCCCCGCCCCCCGGAGCTGTCCCAGCCTGCACGCCCCGAGGTGTGTGCAAGGCCTCGGCAGGCCCCATCCTCGGGGACTGGGCAGGCTCTTAAGGCACAGAAGCCCCGGCAAGCGTATGAGAAGATGGCCAGGTTCATTCATGATCCGAAACATACAAGTTCAAACGAGAATGAGATTTCACTTGCGCCAGTTAGACCGGCAAACATGGGAAAGCTGGGTAGTGCCAAACGGTGGGGAGTGAGGAGCTGTCCCAGCCAGGTCACTGCTGCTGCGAGCAGCCTGGGGCCTCCGTTCTCAGAAAGTCTGGCAACAGTGAGGGGGATTATGCACAGCGGACAGTGACTCTAAAGTCCAGCTCCTTCTCCTCCTCTTCACCTGTAAGGCCCGCGGCTGGAGGGGGGTCTGCCAGTGGTTCCGCCTGGTGGGCCCTGATGGCAGCAGGGACCTCTCTCCCAGGTCCCTGAAGAGGAGGTGAGGCCCCAGCAGGGGTGGCAGGTTTCTCCACAAGATGCCCCCCCCCCCACCCCCCAGGCTTTTCATTGTTCTTACTTCATATCTTGAGAAATTAGAGGGTTGTTTTTTGTGTTTCTTTTGTTATTTAACAAACTAGAACCGACTTGTGTTCTGCACTCTGCCTGGTTGATTTCATGCTGCTTTGCTACTTGAGTGGCATTCTCTTGGGAAGGCGGCATCCCAGGCCCAGCCCCGACCTGCTGAATCAGAACCTGCATTTATTTATTTTTTAAAATATTTTTATTAATCTCAGAGAGGAAGGGAGAGGGAGAGAGAGAGAGAGAATCGTTGATCAGCTGCCTCCTGCACGCCCCACACTGGGGATCGAGCCTGCAACCCAGGCATGTGCCCTGACCGGGAATTGAACTGTGATCTCCTGGTTTATAGGTCGACCCTCAACCACTGAGCCACAAGGGTTTCAACAAGATCCCTGGTGATTCCTGTTTACATTAAAGTAGGAGAAGCACTGCTCTAGCCTGTCCATCCCAGTCCATTTTTTTACAGGCTTTTATTTCGGTACCTTCCATAAGCAGATCTAGCCTCTTGCACTGTCTTCATTTATTGAGCACCCGCTGTGAAGCAGCCACTGTGTCAGTCCCGTATCAGCATTATCTCATGCACTCTTCCCCCTTCCCCAACGCCCACCCTGTGAGGTGAATGCTGTTACCAGCCTCTTTTTCTGGGAAAATGGCTGCTCACAGTCACAAGACCTGAGGAGCCTCCGGCCCAAAGTCCCACAGCCAGTAAGTGGCCAATTCAAACACAGCACATAAGCTACACAACTGCTCTCACTGAGGGCCAGGCTGGGATGCCAGCTTCTGCGCACCCCCTGCAGGAAGATGGGCACATGCCAGTGTCAGGACACAGTCCGTGAAGGTCCTGTCACCTTACAGTGGTGGGAACCTTCCCCTCAGAGCCCCAGGGCCACTCCCTGAGAGTCGGGGGTCTCTGCTCAGGGCTGCAGTGCATTCTGCCTGCTCTTCCTTCTAGATACCCTGGTTCTGGGCATCTCAAATTGGGGTGCCCTTCCCCTGGGGGTACACAGTCGTGGACAACGGGCACAGGAAACCACAGTTAAAACCTCAATTTTACATGATGCCCGAGGCAGAGTGGAAAAGTTGCATTTTTTATATGTATTTTTCTTACTGATTTCAGAGAAGAAGGGAGAGGGAGAGACAGAAACATCAATGATGAGAGATAACTATCGATCAGCTGCCTCCTGCACGCCCCTACTGGGGATCGAGCCCACAACCTGGGCAGGTGCCCTGACCAGAATCGAGCCCGGGACCCTTCAGTCCGCAGACCGACACTCTATCCACTGCACCAAACAGGCTAGGGCGAAAAGTTGCATTTTTATTAGAACAACCATGTTGTTGTTGTTGCTGTTGTTGTTGTTGTTACATACTGCATTCTTCCATTTACCACAAGAACAAACTGATAATAAACACTATTTAAAAGAAATGCTGGACTCTGAAAAGGGTGGTGGCAGCAACACTTCCCACTGCAGAATCACCGTCCACTTTCTCCAGTTAACATTGCTATTCTTCCATGATACAGGTTCACGTGGAAAAACTTGGTCAGGGCCAGGAGATGAAATATAGAGCATGTCCTAATTAGCTAATGTAAGCTCTTAGGGTGGGCCCATAAAACATGGCCATTGTTTTGTTAAGCATCTGCAACCTGCAGAATTCCTTAGCCCTGAGCTATGGTTTCTGCTCAGTATCTTAAAGCTGAGCTCAGTCCCATCTGACTGCTCCTCCGGGATGAGGGAGGTGCTAGTCATCAAAGTCTGGAATGTGATCATAGGAGTAACCCCAGCAGCCTTTGGATGCACAGTAAGCAATGCGCAGGTGGTAAAACCCTGGCAGGAACACCGGGGTGCCAATGATCAGAACAGGAATGGCCTGGTCTTCTCCCCCTTTGCTGATATAGCAGGAGGGAGCCTACCAAAAACAGTACCATGGCAAGCGAAATGGCCTTACATGGAATCTTAGGAGGGCTTTTCTTAACCTGGAGGTCATTGTAGCCATCCTCTGTGCTAGAGTCTTGAGTATTTCACTTTCCTACTGGGGATCCCAGTAGCCAGGTTGGTAACGAGATGGCATCATAACACACTGACACAGCCACAGTCCCTTACCTGAGCGCCATGCCAAATCATCCGCACGCCGACAGCCCGCTCACCACTGGAAACAGAGATTCTCATGACACGCCTCACCTAACTGCCACCTGCCCCACCCCGCCCAAACTGGATCAAAATCAACCATGGGTTTACGGGTAAGAGTATAGATACACTACCCCGTGGGTCACCTGGACAAGGCCACAGAGCTTTGGGTGTTCCCACTGCTCTATCCC